TTAAATACATGTAGTTCTATTTTTTTTATTTAACTTGGTGTTATTATTATTAAGGAAGTTGAATCATTTCGACAGACATAATTTTGTTCTGATTTGTTCCACCTTTTGAACATACAGCAGATTTTTCACAGATTTTGAAGTAGAATTACAATTATTTGCATTCATGATCCGATACCAGATCTTTTACGATCCGATCGCAATGCTTGACCACCGTTAGTTATTCTTTCACGATCATTTTGCTCGATATACCGAATGTCAACCGTGTTCTAGATCTACACGTCGATAGATCCACTAAATACACCGGAAACGAAAAATGCACTAAACACAATTCCAACATTCAATTTACAAAACCAAACGCTTAGGAATAATGTATCTATTGCTGTTCCCTATTTTAATGTGACAGTAAAGCCTTCATGCAGGGAAAAAGGTGACACCACACAAGTTCGATGAACGTTTCCGCAGTAATACCTGATTAATAATACCAGAAAAGACATACACAAATTAATCTACCTTCTAAAACAATAGACACATGTCTAATCCTTGTAAAAAAAAAAACAAAAACAAAAACAAAAACAACACTTTATAAATTTCATACGTCCAAAGCGCTTACCTGTATTTACTTTCATCAGGAACACTCAAAGCCAAATGATGTATAAGAACCGTTACAGTTGAAGAGCTGCAGGAAGACCATATAACTTTGTTTTGTTTGTTTCGTTGGTTTCGTTGGGATGCTGTCTCATTGCCGTATATCAAATATCTCGTTGTATTTATATTATGTGATACAATGTTTAGAAATTAGACAAATAAAGATTAACTAAACGTTATCTCAAAATGTAAAATCTATGTGCACAAGGCTTAGACACAGATTGATTACGAGGCTGTGCGAGCATTTCTATCCTGTTTTGAGCCGAGTACAGATCAAATGTATATTTCGAGACATGTATAAATTATTATATTGCTATACATTTATGAGAACTTATAGTCTACATCCTGTCGATATTATGTACTTATATTTTGGCATTAATTGATACTTTAGTCTGGGTTACATGATTCATTTACTAGTTGTTATTGGCTTTGAACTAGGTTTCAGTACCTGCGAGTACTCAGAGATCGGTACTTTGTGTGTTTTTCCGTTAAGTTAGTTGATTTTTTATGCATCATGCTGATCTGATGAGTCAAACAATTTCCAACTGATTTTTACAGTATGTCGTTATGTTGTACTGTTACACCACTGTCCTAGGTTAGGGAAGAGTTGAGCAGTCACAAACATGTTTAACCCCGCCACATTTATATTTATATATGTGCCTGTCCCAAGTCAGTTATTCAAGTTGTCGTCCTTTGCTGTCTGTCTTATTTTGTTTTTGGTCATAAATCATACCGGTGTTTTTGTTTGTTTGAATCATTTCTCATATTTTCATGTCAGGGCCTTTTAGCAGCTGACTATAAGGTATGGTTTTGCTCATTGTTGAAGGACGTACAGTGACCTGCAATCATTTTATTTGGATAGTTGCAACAGTGGCAACCATACCATTTCTCCTTATCTTATGTTTATAATGGTTGCTATCTTGAAAACTGCCACTGTTTCAAATGTTCAATATATATTTTGTAATAAAAAACAACAATTTTGAATTTGAAGCGGCTCGATGACGAAAAAATGCCGCGAACCAGTATTTATTTTTGATATCATAAATAAAAACCCTACGGAGTTACATTACCAATGTTACAACCAAACCGTTATAAGGTAATGCAGTGACTGTATATTCAAATATTTAGACGGTCAGTTCAAATATTTAGACGGTCAGTTCAAGTTGACTGCTCAAATAGCACAGATAATTGCAGTCATGTTAAGGATGTATTCTTCTGGCGTTTCAGTCTCGTTGAAATCTCGTTCTGGAATTATTTCCAAAACATGTGATACACGTGGAAAATAGCAATGAATTTAATAAATATCATAATCAAACTAAACTCTGTGAAAAAAATGTGTATTTACAATAAGTAGTTTTTGAGTAATAAATTTTTCAAATTTTATTACCAATCAAGGCAGTCTTTTTAGCCAAAATTTTGAGAAAATGGGTGAGGGGTACAAAACATGATTTTACCAGAAACATGTTCATCCCATATCACTTTTTTCTTTTCAATTTTCTTAGATATGTATTTTTTCAATCATTTATAACAAAGAACTTGAAATATTATGCATTTTGTTTTTAAAATAGAGAAAAATCACAAATTTACAAAATTGACAGTATGGTAAATTTGACAAGAAAAACCGGTACGTCTAAACACCGCTCAGGACCTCCTGAGTGCACTCAGGACATACAAAGTGCAGTTCAGGACATGAAATAGTTGTTTTAGTGAGTAGTGAAGGTATGCATTCGATAGATAATTTAATTCTCCATCTTATAATTTTTGTTTTGATAAAATCAATTTAATATTTATGAAGTTATTGAAGTTTTCATTGGCACGCGCCGATTTTATGAAATATGTCAGGCATGACCGATGATTATATTGAATATCAATTATCATGTTGATAAGGTCGTTTGATCTTTAATAATTAGGAGTGATTAGTAATGGTACTAACGTCATACAAGTAAGCTTGGCAAACAAACAAAACCAAGATGTCTTTTGAAAAATAAAGAACAATGAAGATATATTGTTTTAGAAAAAATGTTAAATAAACTTTTCGTTTTGTTTGTAATAATTGAAGCCATTTGAGAAATATGAGAAATCTACATATAGTTGGGAAATTTTAATTCAATTTATTTCATTTGAAAACGTTCAAAAATATAGATATAAATTATTGCAAAATGTGGCGATTATTTTATGTAGTAAGATTTGGTTTTACATTGAGCTCGTTCTTGTCCAGTATTAAGATTCCTTGAGCAGTTTTAATGTAAAAGTAAATTCTGAAGAATGATTTGCTGTAGACAGTGAAAAGAAAATGTCTAAATTTTATTTCTGAGTAATACAAATGTTTAATAAATCAGCAATTAGTAAGATTTCATTTTTCATTTAAATCGTTCTTGTCCATGCAGTAATACAAGCCTAGAACGAATTTCGATGTGTAAATAAATTCTGGAAAAAATGAATTTGTCTCCGTTTTCTGAAAATTATCATATTTGGGTATTATTTCTAAACATTTTGTAAGTAAGATTGTAGTATGATTCTAAACTAAATTAATAAAAAATGATTTTTTTATTGTAAAACAAATGAAAAAATATTTAATTTTGTTTCTCAGTTCTTCCCATGTTTATTTTTGTCAGTTTACTGTCCTAAATAAGTGCTATCGTAAATTGAACTCTCGCCATTTATCATATTTTGGTATTTTACTGTAAAAAAAAATTATGAACATTTCGGTCCGTACAGAAAACATGATGTATCATTTCAATGTTGGTTTTCGAAAACAAAAGAACAGCGAAAAAGACTATTTCGTAGACTGTTGATTGACACGAAATCCGTCCAAACCACGACTTAGATTTCGTGCACATATTTTAAAGTGTCAAAACCCCAGAAACTTGCTCGTAAGCCAAACCAAAGAAAAAGACCAAGGGCAGCATGTACGCAGCCAAGATATTAGACTTACCAAATCATATAAATAAATTCATCTAAATATTTTCATTGTAAATATTGTACATAATTGTCTTCTCTATACCTATGTATATGGTTTATTGAGAATAAAGATATACAAATTCAATAAAATTTGATATTCAGTAAACATTGTTTTTGTTTAATAAGTTGATTTGGAGAGAGAGAAAAAAAAACCCAAAGAAAAACAAAAATCGAACTTGTTACAGAAAAACGGCAACTATAAAATAACACGATTTTTTTATTTTCTTTATGCATGAACTGCAGACCACAACAAAATTGAGTCAGCCGTCATCATGAAAAATAAACTGAAAAAGAACATCGAAATAATACCCCAATATGATAACTTAGATACAATTAAATACAACAATGATGAAGTAGAGCAGAATATAATATGGTACAACAGTGCCAGCGTTCTGAAGATCCATAGGTATCAATAGTTTTTTTTTTCTCCATAAACGTAAAATTTACTATGCATAATTTAAATTTAACTACATTAAACAATCCCTAAAAACTTAAAACATCGTGTTATTAATTTTAAACGTAACACTGTACTAACAACACAATTCATAAACAACAATAAAGATAATCCAATCAATTTTGTTGATTGAATTATTCACGGCTCAGTAGTTGTGTAATCAGTGACACGTGCCCTCATTATTTTATAAGAATTGACATATATCTATCTAAGTTCGATTTCAAATTCTACCAAAATTTAACTCTTAAATAAGTAACATGTAACGAATATATACAGCCATCCTGTGTGCAAATACGATGCCCATAAAGGGTCCTGAGTGCACTTTGTATGTCCTGAGTGCACTCAGGAGGTCCTGAGCAGTGTTTAGACGTACCCAAGAAAAACGGCATCAAAATACGATAAAAACTTTCTTATATTAACACCTACCTATAGTTTTTTTAAGTTAAATTTATTCAGATTGGTCCACTTCATCTTTATTGAAAGTATGAAAAAAAGTTTAATTGTGGAACTTTGATTTTTTTCACGATAATAGCCCAAAATTGGGCAAAAACTGATGAAAAATGGGAAAATCATAAAAATTTGGTACTTTGAAAGGGCCGTAGCAAAAAAAGAAGTGCACCATCATATGATTTTTTCTTCACCAATTATTTTTTTACAGTCATATAAACCCAAAAATCAGGTAAAGAAAAAAAGTTTAATTCTAGAAATTTTTGGCTCCTCAGAGGTGTACATCCTTAATAAACTGGTAACTAAAGTTTACATATTAGTGAATTACAATGTAAGTATATAATTATCTATTTATATTTAAGTTGTTTACATGCTATCATTTAAGGGTTGTGCAGAAAATTTAGCATACAATTTCTTGCATACACGTGCTATGAAATACATTTTAAAATGAAAAATACTTTTGTTTATAGTTACAGAATTGGTAGGACCAAAGATGAGACTGTTTGCCTCGTTTTGTATTTATCTCGGATTTTGTGTTGGTCTATACCTACTTTTGATTCTTGTGTATTTTATACGAGAATGGGAACTTCTAATGTGGGCTATCGGTGTACCAATTGGTATATATGCATTGGTAGTAATTTTGTAAGTACATGTATTTATCAAATTTCATATATAAATATATGTATGGAACGCCTCAGCTGTCTTATGTGGAACTCTGATATTACTTTATGTTGTTTTATTATTACTTGATGATATTTTGTCTTTACTTAATATGGTTTTGACATTACGTAATGATGTTTTGATATAACTCAATATGGAATAGTCATTACTTAATGATATTTCGATATTACACGATATGGTTTCGTATTGACTTGATATAGTTTTGTCATTACTCAATATGGTTTTGTCATTACTCGATGTGGTTTCACCATTATTTAATGTGGTTGTGTCATTAGTCAATGTGGTTTTAACATTACTTGATGTGAATGTGACTTAACGTTATGTAGTTGTTTCATTACATGATGTGGTTTTGTTATTTCGTAATGATGATTTGCCTATTCTTTATATGGTTTTAACATTACGTAATGATATTTCAAAATTTGACGATTTTACACTACCTGATGTGTTTGTTTCATTATTTGATGTGGTCCTGTCATTCTTTGATGTGGTTATCCCATTACTTGATGAGGTAAAACCACGTGACCAATTCGGAAAAAAATATGTTCTATTTTTAAACAGATTTCAATATATCATTTGTTTAATGTGCTTTGGATTGGTATCGCTATCCATTGAGTTAAAGTTCAAATTTAAGCTCGAGTGGTTGTTCAGTGTTATTTAGCATGAAAAAGGTAACCGGCAGACAATAATAAGAAAAAAAGTATTAAAAAGTTTACAGTATTTCTTACATAATTGGGATATCCCCAAACCACTTTGTCTTGTTGTTTTTATCCTAAGTTTTCAAACGGAAGCAGTATTTTTGTAATAAATTTGTAAAATATTCCACGGAACCCTATGTCTCGCCTGATATTGCTGCTGTAAGTGTAAAAGCGTCATGTTGATCGGCTGAAATTGAAGAATAACTCCTATACTCCTATACAAGTCTTAAAACACTTCATGGAGGTTTACAAATTTATCATGTCAAAACAGTTTAATTCGGTTTTATTTAACTAAAACAAACTGTATGGTTTTCAACAATAAGCAAAACCCATACCCTATAGTAAGCTATAAAAGGTCCCGAAATAAAAAATGTAAAAAACTAGAAACCTAACGATCTATAGATAGATAGATAGATAGATGGATAGATACTTTATTCTCTAAAAACTAATTACAAGTTTACAGAGAAACATACAATATAAATACAGATACAATAGTTGAGGTAAACAAATACAGTATGATATTCTGAAAGTACAAAATTATAATGGCATACGTGTTTAGTAACATGTATAATGAAAGGTTTAACTCAATAGAAATAAAAAAAGAAATGAGATGGAGACGCCGACGCCACTATCGACGACGAAATATAGGTTTGTTGGGTCTCACTGCCGCTACATTGATGTCGCAGGCTCGACACAAATCAAACGACTTGAACTTTAATGTGAACAAATGAAGCGCTTCAAATCAACTCACACTAAAGTTACAGGGAAACGGGGGGAGGGGGCTCGGACTTAGCGACAAAGCATCAATACTATAAAATAAGAATTTTCCGAATTTTTTTTAGCGTAAATGATCATTTGAACTTATACAAATATCAATCTTTTATTTGTTATCAATTGAATTCACTGATCTACCTCGCACTAATTGAAAAATAAACTTTTTGGAATATCTGTTTCACATGTGACGACGGACATGTTCCAGTGGTCGTAACCATAATACCGTCATCTTTTTCTTGAATGTGAACTACCAAATAAAACCAAATCACTGGGTTTGTACTTTCTCGAATAACACGACGGGTGCCTTTCTGGAGCATCCGAGATCATCCCGATGGATTTATATTACCCAGTCATACCGATCTATTGAGTCAGCCAAATGAAACTGTTTTGTATGCCACCGCAACTGAAAGTTGGAGGGGGGGGGGGTATTGTTTTACCCCTGTCCGTCCGTCCGTCCGTCTGTCCGTCCCATTATGGGTATATAGGTATTCCGCACAACTCCTCCTACAGTTTGAATCCTAGGAAGTTTTCTCTTAACTGTCTGTTTGTACATATATTGAAGGTGTGCATGTGGTCAGGGTTTAATGTTTATTAATATTTGCTCTTTTTGGAGATAGTTGAACTTTGTAATTTTTTGGGAAATTTACTTGCATAAGAAGAGCCTTTCCAGATAACTCCTCCTACAGTTTGAATGCTAGGAAGTTTTCGCTCTGCTGGCTGTTTGTACATATATTGAAGGTGTGCATGTGGTCAGGGTTTTTATTTTTATTATCTTTTGCTCTTTTGGGAGATAGTTGAACTTTTTTTTTGTCATTTTTGGGGTATAAGCGGTAAAATGAGTTGAGTGCGGGGCATCACTTTGTCTAGTTTACATTTTTTTCTCGTGATGTGCTGTTACACAAGTGTAACAGTCCGATGTAAGGTTAGGATTTAGCGCTCACATACATGTTAAACTCCGCCACGTGCACTTTCTTTATGTACCTGCCCCAAGTCAGGAGCACGAAGTTCAATTGTTGTCGTTGTATATAAATGTGTGTCATTTTTTTTTGTAGATTGTTTAAATATAAATAAGACCGTTTGTTTTTTCGTTTGAATTTTTTCACATGGTGCATGGTGGCCTTTTAAAGCTGACTATATGGTGTGTTGAAGGCTGTACGGTTGCCTATATATGATTTCTTAAATCCACTGCATTTAAACTCTGTGGATAGTTGTCTCATTATCAATCACACCATATCTAACTTTATTTCAACTTCTATGTTGCGTTTTGTATACTGTAACATTGTTTATCTTTTGTACGCATACCCCGGAGCCCTCTTTTCGGAATCCCGAGCAAAAGTCCTTGTTCCGCGATTGAAAATTTAATTACGAACTCATATAAGATAGCACGAATTTCAACTCAAAATCTTAATTAATCTAAATGAGACTTAAATTCGAATCTTACTCAAACTCAAAAAGTGAATCAAATTTAATGGTGTAACTAGAACTCTACCTTTAAATGATGTGACTCAAACTTGAAGTCCAACTCGAAACTCAATGCTAACTAAAACTTTAATTCTAATAATGACTTAAATTCGGAATCGTAGACTAACTCAAAGTTCTACTCAAACAGTAACCCTAACTTTCATTTGAACTCTAATTCGATGGATGGCCGCACTCATCCAAGGCACATACAACATGGAAATCTATCTAAAAATAGAACAGGTTTTTCCAAATTGGTCACGTGATTTTACCTCATCAAGTAATGGGATAACCACACCAAAGAATGACAGGACCACATCAAATAATGAAACAAACACATCATGTAGTGTAAAATCGTCAAATTTTGAAACATCATTACGTAATGTTAAAACCATATAAAGAATAGGCAAATCATCATTACAAAATAACAAAACCACATCATGTAATGAAACAACTACATAACGTTAAGTCACATTCACATCAAGTAATGTTAAAACCACATTAAATAATGGTGAAACCACATCGAGTAATGACAAAACCATATTGAGTAATGACAAAACTATATCAAGTCAATACGAAACCATATCGTGTAATATTGAAATATCATTAAGTAATGACTATTCCATATTGAGTTATATCAAAATATCATTACGTAATGTCAAAACCATATTAAGTAAAGACAAAATATCATCAAGTAATAATAAAACAACATAAAGTAATATCAGAGTTCCACATAAGACAGCTGAGGCGTTCCATATATATGCCTTTTTAAATTTACTCAGGTGCTCCGGGAGGGAAGGCTGTTCCTGATCCGCACGTGGCAGGGTGTTGCTAAACGGCGGAAACGGAATACGAAACGGAAACGGAAACGGAGAGAAATATTTATATGGACAGAATTTGAGGGAAAACTACGAAAATCAATAACGACCGAAATAACGAAATCACACAACAAGTATGTTGAAAATAGGATAGGAGATATCATTGAAAATAGCAAACAGTTTGGGAAATACATAACAGCTGAAAAAAAAACTAGAGGCTATAAAGAGCATGTGTCACTCATCTAAGTATATTTGCATCTTCAACAGCACCCGTCATGTTGCTCGTGCAATTATTAATCCAATGAAAAGTCTCTTCCGGTGGAAATCGAGGTAAAGAGGACGTAATAAACGATAATTTGATCTAATATAAACATCAAGGAGATGTGGTAAGTTGCTAATGAGTCAATTATACACCAAAGTTCAAATTAAAAATTAGAAAACTAACTGTCTGATTTATAACAATACAATTTACGTAAAACAAATATAACAGACATGAACCAACGACACCCACTGAACTACAGGCTCCTGACTTGGGACATGCACATAAAGAATATGGCGGGGTCGAAAATGTTTGGAGGCGCTCAACCCTCCTCTAACCACGGACAATGGTGTTATGGCACAACATAAGAACAAACTGGAAAATTCAGTTGCAAAAATTAAATGGCTCATCTCAATAAATCGGTTCGAACAACAGAAAAGCAACTAAAATAAAAACAATAAACACAAAGAACAGATAGAAGAGTACTCGCAGTTACTGAAAGCTAGTTCAAAGCCAGTTACAACTAATAAATAAATAATGTTCTCCTAGACTACAGTATCAATCAGTACACATCCAACCGATTTAGTGTAAACACGTCATAAACAGTCGGAGAAACGCAAGCCCTCGTGCAATGCCAAAATATTAGTAAAAATTATCAACGGGATGTATGATCATGAGTACTTATAACTGAACACATGTAGCAATATATATTTAGCTAGGTTTTAAATTTTCAAAAACAAAATCAATGTTAGTACCGATGAAAACAATATTTATTTTACTTAAATGTTAAATTGATAACCTTTAAGAATGAGATTATTCAATGGATCAATGAGTTTACATGTATCGTACCTAAATTTATGGGCTCTATAAACTGTAAGAATTAGGATGTGATTTTCCCGATTTTATTACCACTCTACACGTACAGCCAAACTACCTATCCAAGTCCTTGTATCTATGAAAGAATTTAGTAAAAGTTTTAATTGATTTGTGGTTACAAAATCCCTGACTTAATAATTTACCATGTATACATAAATTACGTTTATTGATTAAGCCTAGGATTTGATATCATTTCTTTATCAATTTTATACAACTAAAAAACATGAGTTGTCTAAGATCGTATCAATCGACCACTTTTTATGTTTTAGGGTCGCTGACGGAAACCCCAATTTTACTTTTATTCGGAAGCACATTCGTTGAGTACAGCCCTTATTTTGTTATTTCAGCTTCCTAGATGAATCCCCAAGATGGCTTATAAGTCGAGGAAAAATAGAAAAAGCAATGCCGTCTCTAAAAACAATTGCCAAGGTGAACAAAAAGACTCTTCCCCTATCAGTGAAAGACATAACGATTAAAGACGAACGAACAGCTACATATACACAATTTTTAAAAGAATTAATAAAATCCAAGTCTTTGCTGTGGAGATTAAGCATCGTTAGTATGAACTGGTATGTATGCAATATATATTATAAAGAAAGGCAACAGAAGTATACCGGTGTTCAAAATGCATAATTCGATTGAGAGAAAACAAATCCGGGTTAAAAACTAAAACCGAGGGAAACACATCAACTATAAGAGGAAAACTGAAGTGCAACAAAAACAAACACCAACATACATAGAAACGAACTAGTTGATAACAACTGCCATATTCCTGACTTGGTACAGGACATTTTAAGAAAAATTGTGGGTTGAACCTGGTTTTATGGCTAGCCAAACCTCCCGTTTTTATGGCAATGTTAAGAATATCGCTACAATGACAACACTACGTGACAGAAATACAGCACAAACACACGCAAGAACACTCATCACAGAGAAACGCACACACAAATAATATAATAATCGACACAACATGCAAACCGCAGAACAACAACGAACATCTTTATATCATGCTATTTATAAAAAAAGATGTGGTATGATTGCCAATGCGACAAGCCTCCCAAAGAGACCAAATGACCCAGAAATTAAAAACTATAGTAGGTCAACGTACGGCCTTTAACAATGAGCAAAGCCCATACCGCATAGTCAGCTATAAAAGGCCCCGAAATGACAAAAGTAAAACAATTCAAACGAGAAAATTAACGGCCTAATTTATGTACAAAATAATGAACGAAAAACAAATATGTAACACAGCAATAAACGACAACCACTTAATTACAGGCTCCTGACTTGGGACAGGCACATACAGAATGTGGCGGATTAAACATGTTTGCTCATTTTGACATGGGTAGGCATTATATTTGTTAAGATCTTTATACTGAGCGAAAGTATGTTGTCGAATATAATGCACACCCATTTCAAAATTAGCATAGGTCATGACTTGATAGAATTATATCGATTTAAATAGGAAAATTCTGAACTAACTTTTGTACTTTGAAGCGGACCTATAAGACACGTTTGATAGGCAGCAATTTTGATTAAGTTTGATGAAGCACAAACGTTCTAGATAACCAACTGTTTTACGATTAAAAACTGAATTAAAACCTGTAAACTTACTTTTAAAATGATTTCATTTATTTGCAAGCAAGTACAAACCACAAAAAAGTCCATTTCGATCTCTGACGTTGTTAAAACATACAATTAACCTTGCAATTTGATTGTGACGTCACACCCGTACTTCCCATGTTCTATTAGAATTTGAAAATGGCTTTAAAAAAGAAAATGAAAAAAAAAAAGAGCGTCATATCAGAATTAATATTTCAGTTTTTGATATATGATTTTTATTACTAAATATCGTCCTATGATTTGAGTGTAAAGACTCGTTGTACAATATGTACGTGGCAACAGTTACATGTGATCATGTTAAATGCGCATTTCGATTGGATGCAGCCAGTTACAACTGCAACCGTTGGAAATCATTACCTCGTGAATCCGAAATTTTTACTCAATCTGCCAAGGGAGAAGAGTAGGGGTCCGGATCGTTATCCTTGGCTATCGAAGATGAACGAATATTCTCAGATCAGTTAGATTGTTAGGTGATACATATTACATTTGAACTTTCAGGTTTGCTCTTAATTTGGTCTATTATGGTATATCCATGAACGTTGCCAAATTTGGTGGTGACTTGTTTGTGAATTATGCTGCGTCCTCGTCTGCTGAACTTTTGGCAATATTGTTTTGTTGGTATACAGCAAATAAAATTGGGAGAAAGAAGTTATTTTGCACTGTGATGATTCTTGGTGCGGTCACGTGTTTAAGTACAATTTTCACGTATTTATACGCTAACGAATGTGAGTAAAAGTAAAACATATATATCACTTACGCAATTAGACGTCTTCCTAGATTATCTTTTACCGAGAATCCTTGGGTGCAAAATTTTGGAAAATCGGTGTTAAGTTGGCGAACATTACGAACATTTACACAATCATGTACCTGACTTGAATGGAATACTATGAACAAAAATTCTGTGTTTAAACGGGAAAACAATGTTGTTATGAAAAAAAAATAAACATGGAAATTGTGTTGAAGAAAAGGTTTTGATTTGTCATCATGTATTTCATTTTGCAATTAATGTTTCAATTATTTTAAAATCTTTTTTTCAGCACAGACTTGGCTAACAACCAGCCTAGCTATGATTGGGAAATTTTTTGTATCAATCGCTTTTTTTGTTGTTTATATGTTAACCGCCGAACTTTTCCCTACTGTACTGAGGGCATCATCACTAGGGTTTGCCAGCATGACAGGACGCATCGGAGCTATCTCATCAGCATACATCGCTGAGTTGGTAAGGAAGCAACAGCTGTTTTATTCTGAATGTTAAAAGAACACATGTTTTGTTTTCCAGAAATAAACAAAAGACAGGGCAGCAGTTGCTGTCGGAAAGCTTGTGTACTTTTCTTATGTGTAATCAAGTTTTGATGGTTGTATATTTTGATCTTTTTTGATAACTCGTGTATGAACTCGTGGTGTAACACCCTCTCAACCTTAGCGAATCGGATGTTTAATGTTAGTTTTGTTCATTGATTTGTAACTCCAGACTTCTTCAAACCAGTGATGGATTTCAGTGAAACTCAGAAAGTTTTCAGAGCATAACCACATTGTGCACATCCTTTTTTAGCATTTTATCCAAACAATTTTAAAGTTATCAAAATTAAAGCGTGTAGTAACTCTATAAGTCTTTTCTTGTGTTAAGAAATACATTTGAATCAAAAAGACGTCCAAAGCAGTATGAAAATATCCTGAGCAAAGAAAAAAAAAATGCCGAAAAAGAGTTGGGGGCCTTGCAATTGTTTACATCTTAGTCCTTTGGTCTTAGTGGACAGTTCATCTCTTTTTTTTATATTACGAAATATTGATTAATAATAATAATAATAAGAATTGTCAATTTGGAATTGAGTATTTTCGAACTTGAAGAAAGAAATAAACAAAAGAATGTGACGTCACTACAGGTTTTCTGAACAGAACAAACGTTATCATGACAATTTTGACTCCTGGTTGCTTATTGGCTAATTTAATCATACTAATTTTGATATACCAAATACATATTTCCTGTTATTTCTATTTGTTTGCAGGACTGAACAAAATTCACAGAAATCAGACGGTGGAGAAAAGAGTTCCGTAAATAACAAAAATGGAATAACTTATACTTTTAACTCACCTGTCACAATGAGCTAATTTCAAGAATTTGGCATCCATTGCCGTTCATTAAATTTTTATCTTAAATCTTAAATTTTCTCTCTTTTAAAGTACTGTGTCAGATAAAACCTCACTTGGCAATATTCACCATTAGGATTTTTTAGAAGCATTTGTGATATTCTAATTAACCCATCTCCCACACTTGGAAATTATGGTCTGTGACCTCATTTTTCATGGGACATGCCAGTCTAATTAAAATATAGACCTCTGATTTCTTTAAAGACTGGGGACATGCCTTATATCGATCGTTATACCGAAAACTCAAAACATTTTATTTTCAAAAATGTTGTCAAGGACCGATTGCTATCAATCTTTGAAAACCGGATACAATCGGCTTCCATTAAAATTTTACGGTTGATGACCCTTATCGAGCAAGCATGATCGCAATATTAAATTTACTTTTTAAAATGACAGATATATTGAAAATAAAAAATTAAAACCTTTTGAACATCCAAGTAATACAAGGCCAATGATAAATAACATTTTAACATCCTCGGTGATGATTTATTTCCTAAATCATATTCACACATGACCGCGTCTGCTACTTATGGAATGATTTAACAAAGAATTCAATTACAAAATTTCTTAGACTTATCATAGAGCGAATTTGTTTCGAAACTTGGAACTTTTAGAAATGATTTTCTCATTATCTCCAAGACGTTAAGTTTGTTATTTGGATAATTTGGTGTTGATGGTAGATGATTGATTGTTTCTGTTAAATTTATTCACAGCTTTTATAAAGTTTGGACGAGTGTTTATTGTTGAAGACTGTATGTTGACCTCCTTAGATGGTTTTTTTTTGGTTATTTGGTGACAATGTCATTGACGTTTATCCCACGTCTCCATTTATTCAAATTGACAACAACGATCAACTGTATCATAGTGAAGAGAGGGTTGCCATTCATTTAGATTCCAAAAACAAATCCAGGTTAGACTTTGACTTCTTTAGAGGAATTTTATTTCGTACGTACGATATTATTGAGAAATTAACTTACACTTCAATATGAAAGGACAGATGACACGTGAGCGATACACACTTCTAGTTTTCGAAATACGTTATTGGCATATACACATGGTTTTGAATTGATTGTCAAACATTTGGATTAATTATCCCCAACACAGTTCTAATATTACATTTATAGTTTACCGGTTTTGTAGTCCTGTCTCTTCCTTTATACATTAGGAGTTGTAACTTGACGATAAACTGGTATGATTTGAAATGTGATAGTGAAAATTAATTTATAGTCTGAGATACATGATTTTTTTATTAGTTGTTATTGGCTTTGAACTAGCTGTCAATAACTGAGAGTACTCTCAAATCTGTACTTAGTGTCATTTTTTTGTTGTTAGGGATGAGGGATAGATAAATGCCCTGCCACGTCCTGTTTGTGTTTTTGTTTTCTTTGTATCGATCTGATGAGTAAAGCCTTTTTCAACTGATTTTTATATTTTGTTCTTATATTGTCCTGTTACACTACTGTCCCAGATTAGGGGAGGGTTGAGCGCTCACAAACATGTTTAACCCCGCCATATTATGTGCCTGCCCCAAGTCAGTAGCCTGTAGTTCAGTGGTTGTCGTTGGTTCATGTCTGTCATATTTGTTTTTCGTAAAATGTTTTGTTATAAATTAGGCCGTTAGTTTCTCAATTGAATTGTTTCATATGTTTTATGTCGGGACCTTTTATAGCCGACTATACAGTATGGATTTTTTTAAGGCTGTACGGTTGCCTATTAATAATAATTGCTTACATCCACTTCATTTTAACTTTGGTGGATAGTTGTCTCATTAGCAATCATATCTCCTTATTTCTATTGTGTTCGTCGATCCCTGAGCCATGTTTCCTTTTCCCTTCGATGTTTAAATAATTCAAAAATGTGTTGACATATAATCCGGTGTTGATTGTACGGGGCACCGAACGGGACTCTTGTGGTTTTGTACTCAAAATTCAATTTTGTACGGACAAAAGTGAGTTCAGTTTAACAAAATTTGTAGCATACTACAAAGGAGTAGGTCCGGTAAGGACAGATTTTGGCCTCAAATTTCAGGTTCATTTGATGAAAAATTTTGGACACTTTTTAAACACTTAAGTGTCTACTTGAGTCGATTCATTTAGTTTATGTGATAGATTTGAACTGATTCAGTCATTAAAGACGCTCAAATTCAAGCTTAAATATGAAAAATCTGTCAAATATGCCATAATAGGTCACTTTTCAGATGGTTTTTGTCAAAAATGAAAGTGGCCGCATCCGTGTTCACTCTCAACCTTCATATATGTTATGTATTATCATAAAATACAACTTACATTTAAATATTAAGAATGAACACGAATGCGGCCACTTCCATTTAAAACGGAAACTGTCTAAAATTTAACTCAAATGCTTAAATTGTGAAGATTTCAGTAATTTAGCATGACTTATTGATGCTAGTGCCCGATATATGTGCATTGTATTGTCAAAAACAGCCAATATTTATGTAACATAAGTATTCTACTTTCAAATAAATAGCTAAAAGTTTACATTTTAACAATTTTGTAAAAATGCTATATTTTGGGGCCAAAAACGGGTCTTACCGGGCCTACTCCTTTAAATTTTGTCATACAAAATTATCTTTCAGTGGACAAAAGTTACTTTTGTCATGACAAAATTCATTTTTGTATCACAGACTTTACTTTTGTTACCTAATTTGAAAATTGAGCGACAAAAGTCAATTTTGTATGCAAATTAGTTTAGTTTTGATTCTGTAAACTAATTTGCATACAAAACTGAGATTTTGTCACAAAATTCAATTTTGTGTTTATTTTTGTGTAGACAAAATTGAGTTTTGTTAAACAGAAGTGAAAATTTAACAAAAGCCAATTTTGTGTCACAAAAGTCATTTTTGTCACAAAAGTCAATTTTGTGTCACAAAAGTCAATTTTGTGTCACAAAAGTAAATTTTGTCTACACAAAAAATACTTTTAATTACAAAATCACAGGATGCTAATTTAATCAACATGTTAATTGCGTACAAATTCAATTTTGTCTCATAAAATTTACTTTTGTGTTTTAATTTCCATATCAGGTAACAAAAGTCAATTGTGTATGCAAATAAGAAACTTATTTGCATACCTATTTGACAAAATCATGACAAAAATGAATATTGTCTACAAAAAAGAATTTTGTCATTACAAAATTGAAGTTCTCATAAAACAAGTCTGTATCACATAGTTTTGTAAGACAAAAATGATTTTGTTATGACAGAATTGAATTATGTGTACATATAATTGATTTTGATTACAAAAAGTTCAAGTCCCATTCGGCGCCCCGTAGATTGAATGACTTCCTACTGTGTAATATGTCACGCCATATCATTATGATTACCTCTATGCAATACCAATTTAGCTTTTGCAAACATCTTACTACTTACGGGCATCAAAAATGGAGAACGGACTTCGTACCCTTCCGTGGTATTTGGTAAGGCTGCAGTTGCTCCACATTTCCCAAAAGGAGTGACTTTGGTATAGAAATATTGAATCTTGTATTCTTATATCAAGACACAAGAACACATCGTTCAAAGGGGGAACCTGTTTTGCTGTGCATATGAATAAATAAGTAACCGCGTCCATTAGAAAATGAGGACTTTTAGTGTAATGTCTCATGTTGAGATAAATAAAATTGAAAATTGAAAAACTAGACAAAGTGATGCCACGCATTCCACTCTGAAGTAACTGTATTATAACAAAGTCAATTTAGGACTTTCTTTGAGATATTATTATGTCTGGGAGACACAGATGATGTCCCCGCAGATGCAAAGTGTTATTTTAAAATACATAAAGTTGAGCACGGGAGCACATAGGTCTATGGTTCACCTCTTATTCAAGTATATACTCCAAAAATGACAAAGTTCAACTATCTCCCAAAAGAGCAAATATTAATAAAAATCAAAACCACATGTATACCTTCAATATATGTACAAACAGCCAGCAAAGTGAAAACTTCCTAGCATTCAAACTGTAGGAGGAGTTATCTGGAATAACTATATACCCATAATGGGACGGACGGACGGAAGGACGGAAGAACGGACGGACATGTCAAAAACAATATGCCCCCAACTTTTAGCATAAAAACATTCGTAAAATTGTGCTTAAACTTAGCTTGTCCGCGAGGCATTGGTTTTGGGTGTTTTATTTTTATAAAAATAAAAGTATGTGGTATGATTGCCAATTTGACAAATATCCATCAGCGACCAAAGGATGAGGATATTGATGACATTTAATTTTCGTGCTATTAAATTTTTTCAAGTTCTTGTTCAAGAAATATTATAATGTTTTTTTTCTGCTACTTGGTCGGTACCGGACCAAGTGGGCTATCCGTGTAATAGTCGGATCTTGTT